CCTTCCTCAGCAGACATCTGTCTTTCAAACCGAGACAGCCAACATCTATACACAAATTTCAAGCAGTTTATTCCAGCAAGTGTGCACTGTCTGAATCCCTATGAAATCATATGCATTTCATGTAATCCCAAATATTTTTGCAATCTCAGCTGACAGAAATGATCAAAACCTGATTTTAAAATAATTTGCTTCCTTTGTTATCTCTGGGAGGTCCAGTGGAAACTACCAGTTTGGTAATGCAGAGCAGGACTGCCACAACCCCACCGCAGCATGAATGTATGTCCAAAGGCAAACTCAAAACCTGTTGGGTGAGGTCTATTATAATTTATTTTGTAAATAAATTACTAGTTTTCATATTAGACAATTTAAAGAAGAAAAACATACAGTGGCATTTATGCAAAGCTATTTCAAAACAGCCACCTTTCTTCTCCTGTCATTTAAACCAAATTCCATTTTTTCAGCCCTGCAAGGTATTATTAGACTTCCAAGATGGTGGCTTCAGTGCCATTATTTTTTATTAACATCAGTGAAAGCCAAGAACAGAGATTAGCCTTAATTTTTTAAACTGATTTATTTTCTTTTATACTCTCGTATAGTGATTGAACAATAGTTCTATTACATTGGAATTTTGCTGTAACATTTTGTAATGTCATTTTAGCATTGTTGCTTTCTATTTTGCCCATTTTAAAAATGCATCCTGAACAATAATGCAGTTATCTCAAATAACTTAATTTGTGTAAATATATGTAATGGCATCATAAAGTACATGGAATTATAATACTTAATGATGAAAAGTTCCTTATTAAATTACATTAAGAAAATGAAAAACACATTTCTGTTACGGGTTTTCAGGCAGCAGAATACTATGTGAAGGGCCTTTAACCTGGTTTCCTCTTGCTAGAACTGGTCAAATGATTTTCTATGAACAATTTATTTTATTTTAAGGAATTCAGCCCTTTCTTGAATCATAAACTGATTATGATTTCTAAAACAAATTGTCTAATCAAAATTGTTGGATGAACTGATTTCATAAGCATGCTGAATGATGTATTTATGTGAATTATTTACACTGAGTGTAGTTGGGTTTTTTCAAATTTCTTTTCAAATCTGTACATTTTGCTGCTTGAGCTTTGTGAGGAGCCAGGTAAGGTTACATGACCCTTTGTCTCCTCTCCCTGACTGGAATCAGTCCAATTACCAACTATTTCTATTTTCTGCATTCTATTTTTCTGATGTTCAGCTAAATGTGTTCACCTACTGAAGATGAAAATTCAGTCAAATCAATATTTTGAAGAGAGAAGCTCAGACCGATGGCTGGGATGCATTTCCTCGAAAAGCAAAATTAATTGGAACAGGAATTAGGAAAAAAATACATGAAAAGGTAGAGACCAAACTATAACTCAGCAAACTCTTCATACAGACCACTGAAATAAATGTCCCCAGTGTCTTATCTCCTTACCCAATTTTGCACGTAGATCCATCGGGGCAACAGCTTTGCCTACACTTCTTGCTCTGTCAAGGCAAATGGAGTTCTCCTTGCTCATACAGACCTGATTGGGCACCCCAGTTTGTGGGATCAAAGCCTTTATTTACAACTTACTGTATTTTTTCTTGGTTTAAAATTTAATTGGCAGCATTTGACCTGCAGCAAACTTTTCTGTCAGATGAACAAATGGGTCAGGAGAAAGAACGCTTGCTGAATGTCAAAGCATCGATAAAATCTTGGATAATGCTTGGTTTTGGTATAATATTTGTACCCATTAGAATAAATGTTCTGTGCAGAAGGAAAACATTAGTGTTTAGCATAAAGTGACATTTTGTAATAAATTTGCATCTTACTTTCCTGAAATAATAACTTTGGATGTTTCAGTATTTGCATAAGAAATAATACCGTTAAAAACAAATGCTTCCACAACAAAGTCTAGAGCATTATTGCCAGGCGCTTTCTATATACTTGTTTCAGGCATGGGCCCAAAGGTATTAATCTGTACATTTCTATTGAGCCTGTAGTGATTGTAGCCATCTGGGAAATGCAGCAAACATCTATTACCAAGTGCAACTTTTATGATAGCTCTCATTTTTCCTCTCTTCCACAGAAAATCACTACTTAAAGGGAAAGACTGCGAAAAAAATGTATGCGTTTTCAGAGGGGAGAAGAGTGCCTTCAGGAAGAACACTTGGTCCACTGGCTGCAAAGTCTCCACGACTTGAGAGAGGAGAACTGGCAGAAGACAGGATGGTTTCTGCTTCATGGAGCACCGGCTCTGAGAGCTACTGAGCAACAAATCTAGTTGGGGTGCCACCTCAGCCATTACAGTAGTTAATTATCAGAAGTTAGTTTTTCTGTCCTGGGGACACCAGTAAGACCGTAGATCCCATATTCAACCAGCTCAGTGGGACAGAGAAAGGCATAAAGCACAAGCAGTTGCAACCAGCATTGATCCAGGTTTTTTGTCTCAAGGACGTCATGGGATGAAGTACCAAGGCATGCACTGCTACAGGATGCCGGAGGGCACCTGCTACCCATGTGGACTGCTAGAAACACATCCTCTCAGAGAAGAACAGCCAAGTTCCTTGTGTTTGCTCTAACTTATTATATTATTTATGTCACTGTAGCAGGTAGGAACACCAAGCATAGACCAAGACCTCAATGTGGGAGGTGTTATACGAAAAAAACAAAGCAAACAAAGCAAGAACCCCTCACAATTAAATCAACTGGAAGCACTCATTAGGGATGATACAAGCATGATCCCTCCCTTTCCATGGATGCTAGAGGGACATTGGTATGGGATATGACAGAGCTTTCTTAAAGCCTGGACCTACATGATGGGAGTTTCTCTCAACAGAGAAAAATGACCGTTGGTTTTCCATGCTCAGCACCAGTCACAGCACCCACTTGGCAGCTTGGCTTTTTTACTCAATAGCTATGTTAATTATCAGAAAATTGGATTTTTAAAAAAGTCAGCACTTTGTTTTAACGGGACTTGAAGCCCTTACTCCTGCCAGAACAAATTGAGTTTAGTCAGATTTTTGCCAACCACTCAGCCTGTTGCTTCATTTTAAAGAATTATAAAACTTCCCATTTTATTTCTTCTTTAGGGTGTAGAAAAAAGATGTGTGGGCAAAAAACAGATATATAGTACATAGTACTTGGAAACCAGACAATATCTACAGTAATAGGATTACTACAAACTAGTAAGTTTGGGAGACAGGAGGGTCATATCATCCCTGAAAAATGAAAATTAAATTAATCCATTTTCTCAGAGGCAGTATTTTAAATAAATAACCTGACTTTTTTTTTTCTTCCTTCCAGAGCTAGAAAGCAACGATCACTCCGATCACCCCCAGAAACAAAAGCCCTTGGTGAACAGAACCATGCTGGCACAGAAGGTGAAACTTCTGCCTTTTCAGTAGGTGAGTTCAGGTAACTCAGTCATCCTGGAGTCAGTTCAGAAATAATCACAAACTCCATCCTTGTGCCTTTAGCCTTTGAGATTTCTACACCACAAGAAAAAATAATTTGTTCTTGACTTCTGAATGCAAAGTGAAGTCTACATATAAAAAGGTTCCAGGCTGGATGAATTACAGTTCCCTTTACGATGTGTCCGTGTTTGAAATGCTATTGTGTGTTGCACATAAAAAGCAAGAAAATAAGATCAGTGGGACAGATGTTGTCCTGCACACTGGGGTAAATCCTGACGAATTTCTGTGAGCTCTATTAGCCTGTACTTAGCCTATGGTATCTAAAATAAGAAACGAGCTGAGGAAGAAAAACCCTGAGCTTTTTTGGCTTAGTCTAAATGGGAAAAAAAAAAAAATAAAAAAATCTCCTGCTTCTAAACCAGCTGTTCTCCAATTTAAATCCTTGTCATTTCTGGGAAAGAAAAAAAAAATAAAACGACAACTAAGGACATATAACTATAATTTCTTGTGCCTCATTTTGTCTTCTCCCTCTACTCATTTTTGCCTTTTAAACTCGCATTAAAATAATAGTGCTTCCTTACCAGGAGAGGGAGCCCGGAGCCGCTCCCTGAGCTCTGGGACTGCTCGATCAAATCCTTCAGGGACTCCCCAGGGGGAATGTAGGTCTCATCCTGCTCCAGCCCGATGCTGTAGCGGGGCCTCGTCTCTTGGCGTTTGTATCTGCCGTTTTACATGAAAGTGAAATTAGCTTTGAATACAATGAACACACGTGCAATGAATAATGCACATCGTCCTTCACATTTGCTTCATTTATAGACTCACAACTTCCTCTGCTTCCCTGAGGAATATCCTGGACTCACTGCCCAAAGTTTTCTATTTTATTTTTAGCAACTCTTTTCAGCATCGAAACTCAAAGACTGTGCAATCTGGTGTAAGTTTGCAAAGCAACCAAATGTTTTTATTTCTGAAACTTAAATATGTTTAAAACACAGACCAAGTAAATAATTTTATTTTACTGATGGCAGTGGTCTTTTAGGAGGTAAGGTCATGGGATCTGGGACTATTTAAAAAATGTGACAAATTATTTAACCATAATGTATGTAGATTATTTATATATTTACTTACATTCCTTTATCCCCCTCTTTTTTATGATCAGTTCTTCGCCACATAAACTTGTTTAGAAGCCTTAAGTTTATTTACCTTATATAAAATTTGTCCTGTGGCTTTCTTAGACTCAGTAAAAAATAGTTTGTGCTGCTACGTGAATAAATACACCACAAACGTATACCTACGACTAGTATGAATAAAATACACATTTTTCCTCATCATAAAATTACAGTTTCTCATTCTTTTTCCTTAAGGTACACTTCAATTTTTTCAAATTCTTGAATCTATAAAAAGATAAATGTTGGGAGAAACATTAACAAGCTGGTAAAGTATTCCTTATTTACCTGAAGTAGCAGAATATGATGATAAGCACCAGAAGTATACTGCAAACAGTCACTGAGATCAGCAGGGCCTTATGGTGGATGTTTCCTTCCGCAAAGTCTGGGGTTAAAAACAAGAAAGGTGGAAAATTTGGAAGGGGACGTGGTACAAAGTCAGTATCAAAACACACAGATGCCTTACAAAGCACAGCAAGCACAAGTCCGTTTCCTTTCTTTTCTGCTTTAGTCCTGTGCAAGATACTGCTGGATTCCCCAGGCCAAAACCCTGTTTGAGTTTTCAGCCCTCACTCAGGCAAAACATTGCCTGGATTTGCAATTCCCTGTTTGGCTCTGAATGAAAAATCAATTAAGACCCATAGCTCTGTGTCTAACCTAGGCGATCAGCCAGGACATACAAAAATTACTGCTTCTATCTTAAATCACTCTTATTAAGTAGCATCCTATTGAGCAGTTAATATAAAAAAATGACTAATTGCTTTTATCCTAGGAGGGAAGACACAGCTGACTATCCCAGTGCCAAGAAATCTGGCCACTAGAAGCCTTGAAGGTGTACTTCCATCACTGCAGAATAATCCACCGCTTGGATCCTGTTTTGAACACCTGGGGAGGAATTTTCTCCTCCATTCTCTCTACAGCAGCCCTATAAGCCAGCAAGTCCTTCCTATGCTGGTGGGCAACACTATCCTTCCAGCAGCTATTTTGTAAAACAGTTTGAAAATGTGTCAAATAACTTGTAGAAAATGCCATTATGTAAAAAGTATTAAAATGTTTCAGTCAGTCCTTGTATGGAAGACTCATACTCTCCTTTAAAGCATACCATTAATTTCCAAATACGTATTCTCAACTCAGATAAACGAGTCTGACCTTCATGCATGCTCCTCTGCTGAAAAACAAAGAAACCAAGCACTGTTCTTCTTTAACCTCCTCCAATTCTCAGAGTCTCAAAATTAAGGTATTTCAGCATGCAGACACACATACCACCCTCCCAAAGTTGCTATCTGGTATAACGCAAATGAGGACTATGTTTTCTGAAGCTCTCCCAGGCTTGCTGTCTTACATCTTTCACACTAACACCCAATGCATTGTAAAATGCAAGAAACCTATCCGTACAGACTCATCCTGGAATAGTGCTATTGCGTTTCAGATTTACAAGGGTAATGAGAGAAGGAGATTCCTAAGGGACTCCTGGCTTACTGTCAGGCTCTTTTATTTTAAAGATCCAGTTTCTCCTTCTGTTTTTGCCCCCAAACTATTTCTTTCCTTCCCCTTTCCACTACAGACATTGCCAACCAACACACCTTTTGATCACACTGGTCATGTTTTAACCTGCCATTACCAGCTCCGAGAGCATTAACAATGTAAACATTCATGACACAGCCAATGCCTTTGAAAGGGGACACTGACACGATGTCTATCAGGAAAACACTGGAGCCCATCATTCTCCCTGCCGCAGCGGATTTCTACCTGGCTTGCCACTCCAAGTGGGCTATGAGGTGAAACCGAGAGCCCACTAGGGAATTCAGATGTCTCTCACAAAGGCAATGGCTGCTTGGCAGGGCTAAGGCCTCTAGTTCATGCTTTGTAACCAGTCTGTGTCAGCCAGCCACTTCCCTCTAAAATGTGTGGTTTGTAACTCCTTAAGATGTCGCAGCCCATCAGCTGCGGAGAGGATAAACAGATCACGCAGACCATATAGTGAGATTTTTATACTGGGAGAAACCTGCATATCTGTCCGCAGCAAGGGTTTTCCCACTTCACAGAATAAGCCACAATGGAAGTTGGGCTTTTGTGTTTAGCAGTAATGAAGTCAGACACAAAGGGAGCAATTCAGACCTTGCTCATACTTGAGTATGCCAGAGAGCAAAGCCATGGAAGTCTGCGCATCTACACAGACAGCAAGTGTTGCACTACCAGAACTTGTAAAGCATCCACTGTTCATGATGCCTGTGTGTGTCCAAGTACATACATTTGGGAGAGGGATGATAAAGATGCTGAAATCTTAATCAAATTCTGATCATTTTAAATGATCCAAACCCTGTGCTCCATGTTTCTAATGGACTTCTCCCATTCAGAAAAGTAAGTAAATGCAGTTCGAGTTCCTCAGAGGCCAGAAGGCATTTTGGAAGTGCTATGTAGCTCTCAAACAAACTTCAGACTCCAACACTGCAAAATTTTTTGGTAGCCCAATGCAAATATGTGAAGCAAGTGCAAGAAAAGCATACAAGACATAAAGGGTGTGTCTTGATCTCCATGCTGGGAGTGGCTGATGCAGACTGCAGCAGCAGCAAAGCTTACGCTCTTGCAGTAGGTGGTGTCTCCCACGCGGGCAGTGTCAGCTAACATAGCTTTAGTAGTGGCTCACCATGCACAGAATGGGCATGCAACTGGCTCTCCCAGGAGAGGAGAATAACTTCCATATGTCTCTATATTTATTTGGCTACATATGATGAGAGGCAATACTGATGACAAGTGAGCTATTGTCTCACCTTTCAAATACTTCCTGCATTTTCAAAGCATTTTGGTAGAATTTCATTTGCTTGCTCGCTTGAGGGCTTCATAAATCCACTGGCATGTGGACAACACAAGATGAAAAGTATGCTCCCATTCTTACACCAGCAATGTCTGTTTGTTCTGCTGAACTGAGTCAGGTTGGTGCTGCTGGAGTTCAACTCTTTTCTCCTCCTACAGCCCATGCTGTTCCCCACAGAGCAGCAGAACAAACCTCCCTTTCCCTGCACCATTTTTGGCACCTCCTTGACCAGGTGGAAGGACAGGGCAGCTCAGCTGTGAGCCCACTTAATCACTGGCTTGTGGGCTCTGTGATGAAGACTGTGGTAGGTACCAGTCGGTGCCAGTTTCCGTGATGGAGATACTGTCCTTTAAGAAGTCCAGTGATGTGCTTTTTAGTGTTATGTTACTTGGCAACTGCAACATGCCAAACAGTGGCGTTATGAGAATAAGCAGCAGCTTCCATGGAAGCAGCGGTGAGCAATTACCAGGAGCACAGTGGGGGGAGCGCAAAACAAACACGCGGCAGGTTTGGGAAGCTTCTTCACATACCTCAGCTGGCCGACAATAGCAAAGCCCAGCAGCACGTTTAACAGTTATATGTTGTATGAAAACAGTGATGCGTGCTGGTATCAGTGGTGAGCAGCACGGAAAGGGAGAGATGGCAACAAAAGGAGGGTCTTCAGTGATACCAAGTTATCTTTCAGTTATTTTCCTGTGATTTCCCCCTCCTCCACCACTCCTTCCCCTCACTCTACCATCCGCAGGACTGTGCTGAGCAGTGCATTGAAAATGCCACCCAGCAGGTTCAAGGGAGAAGTCAGCATATCAAAGGGAGAGGAGGTTCTCCTCCCTCCCCAGGTCCCTCCAGTTCACAATGTTGCGGTTATCCAAGTAAAAACTGCAGTGAAATCTGAGGCGTGGAGACTGTGTGCACACATCAAACCCCATCATTCCTCCAATCATTCCCTTGCCCATTCATCACTAGCTCTACAGGCAGGGAGCCAGACACGGTGGCACCACCACTTCTGCTTATATAGGCTCTAAATCAGTAAAGACATATTTCTCCTTTTGACTGGCCTCAGCCTGCACTTTGACTGGGATTTCCAGGAATATCTTTTATTGTTTAAAGCAGAGGTGTTGTATCAGACCCAATTATGACTCTCATTTCCTTAATAAGACAGATCTACAGCTGGGACGAGGACTTCATGGTTTCTCTGGTGTATTCTATCCTGCTAGTTCTGCATAGAGATGAGCTCAAAACTTAGGCTTAGCTGTTTCTTCCGTCTTGCTTAACAAGCCTTGCTTTGACCAGTGTTAATTCTTCTAGCTCCTACTTTCATGGTCCTCCTTTCTTTTCCTGATGGGGGGCAGTAAAACCCACTTTCCAGCAGATGCCAGGTCTGGAAAAGCACTTTGAGAACACAAGTTGCTTGCCTTTGTAGATGTTACCTTGGTGCATAGGTTAATTTGCAGTTCAACAACCTCTGACCTGCAGCTGGACACTCTCCCTAGACTCTCTTTCCCATGAGATATGACCTCGGATGTAAGTTCATCAGAAGCTAAATTTCTGTTTGTTTTTTAAATGCTGAGGAACATACATATTTTTCACGGAATCCTGGAGGTCAGAAGGGTGTCCCTAGAAGATTGTTTTTAAGTTCATCTTCTCTTTCTTTGTACTTACAGTTTACATTAAATTTGATATACAATTTTAACAGTACTCAGTCAATCACAGCCTAATCTTAATGTTTCCAGTAGAAAAAATTATCACAGCCATAGTACTAGGCACTGGAAGTAGTGAGTATTTGTACACAGTATTCGTACCTGATTGCAGTCAGGATCTACAAACCAGGGCTTTTCTCTAAGCTTTCATACTAGGATACAGCAACGACAAATTAAAACAGGCCTGGCACCAAGAATGATGTATTTACTTAATACTTTAATAAAGGTGCTGACTTCAGCCCTGTCCAGCCACATTTAATGAAGCAGCTCCTGAAATGTATTAATATATTTCCACAATATACTATCAGGATACCAGTACTGAGAGAGCTTATTTCAAACAAAAGACTTCAGAATATGTTGACTGAATACATCGCCTTTTGATTTTCATGCTAAAACAGGCACCTTTGCAACACAGAGCAGCTAGAATCCTGTTACAACTCTATGAAATTTTTCTTTCAACAAATATTCTCTTTGCTATTTAATGGGTCTGCCACCACGGTGCCCAAGTGACGCTTTATTTACCCCAGATACACATAGAGTAAAGCCAACATCAATCCAAACAACTTCTGCCACTACCAAAAGCTTGGTTTATTGCTTTCTGTATAAGCAGCAGATAGTATTGCCAAATAACTAAAATCTTAATAAGGCAGATGTCTACTGCTAGGCATTGGTTCAGTATTTTTAAGTAGTTTTAATGTAGAATAAACTCAGTCAGCAGCACAAAAAAAATCATGGCAGTGTTTTCCAAACTGAAATTATTTTTACTGATATAAAAAGTAAGTGTGAACAAATATTGACTTCCTTTTGGAGCTTCTCTCTCTCAGTCCAAAGAACTTTTTAACATGAAAAAATCAACAAAGTAATACATAACTCTTACATTGGAAGTCAGAATTTTATGAGGTTTCGCTGACTTAATGGCTTGCTAGTAAACAGTGAAATATTTACATACTACTCTCCACAGACCTGATTCTGCAGCCCATCTGTGCAGAATTTCATAGCCATGAAGGGAACAGCTCACATGAGTGAAGGCTTTCTCTGAGCATGCATTTGTGTAAGTATCTGCTGTTTGTGTAATTAAGAGTGCATCTGCACACTGATCTGGATTTTCATATCTAAACGCCATGATCACAAATTTTCCTGCAACCTTGAACTGACTCTCACAGACTAAACTCCATGCTGACCACCACAAATATTGGCCATTGCTTCCAATGCCAAGAGTTTATCATAGATGAATTTACACTTACTTAGGAATACATTTCTATAAAATGTATTCTGCAACATCCAGCCAAAGTAGTTTCACCAACTTTCAGAAAGTTTCAACAAACAAAAAAGCAAAAACCTTGCCTCAGAATCTACTAAGTTAATACACGTCCATTTGTTGTCAAGTATCATATAAAAAAAAAAAAATAAAATCACTGCATAAGTTCTCACTCTACATTCTATTTTCAGCTACATTTTTCAAGTATAAAATCTGCTTTAGTGACTAGTTATTGTTCTAGTGCTGGATTATCAGGTCTTTTAAACAAGAAAGGCTTAATGGACTTCAGTCAACTTGAACTGACTGATTAACCACTGAAGACCTGGTCCCAGATGTGTGTGGAGTTATGAACAACCATAATGCATGTTGCAAGGACTAGAAAGAGGATTCAATTGTATTATCAGGCTAAAAACTGATAGGCATCCTCTGCCATGACTAACCTAAGTCTTTGGGATGATCACTGAGAGCCAGCAGGGCTGTGCTTGGACAAAACCATGTGACTCTAATGCATCTGGTACTGACTGCATGTATGCAATAAGAGTAACACCAGGTATCACCAACCACATGTCAAGGCAGGGCTTCCCATAAGTGTCAGGAGGATGGAGCCGGGCTCTTCTCACTGATGACCAATGATAGCACAAGGGGCAACAGGTGCAAGCTGGAGCACAGGAGGTTCCACATTAACATAAGGAAAAACTTTTTCACTGTGAGCGTGACAGAGCATGTTCTGCCCAGACAGGCTGCCCAGAGAGGTTGTGGAGTCTCCTTCTCTGGAGACATCCAAAACCCACCCCAAAGCGTTCCTGTGTGACCTACTCTAGGTGGTCCTGCTCTGGCAGGGGGGTTGGACTAGATGGTCTTTTAAGGTCCCTTCCAACTCCTAACATTCTGTGATTCTGTGACCTGCAGGAATTCAGTGATACTGTTTAAGGCAGTTTGTCTCTCTAATCATGTGCAGTTGGAGGGAGGTGCTTTGGTTTGGGCTTTGTTTCTTCCTAAGGCACAAAGAGCAGCAGCAGGAAAAGATCAGTTTGGGATTGGATTTAATTCCCCTTACCTCGATTTTTCAGTGGTGGCAGCGTAGGGTGAAGGTGTTTGTTACAGTAATCTTGGCCTGTGCAACATTCAATAGATCTTCTTTGGTGTGGAATAGGAGTGTCCTGCAACAAATGATTTGATAAAAAAACAAAGTAATTATCTATGTTGTAAACGTACACCATAATTCTGGCACTTGAGAAAAAGATGTTCTGGTTAGCTGGACTGCAGTCTGTTACAGATTTCTAGGATGTGTGGAGTAAGGATTTCTGCCACCAAGTGTATCCAGCAACATTTCACCTAGACAATTAAGAGATGAATTCACCCTTAATGTATTTGCATTGGTGCCCTAGTGCTGCAGAAGGGACTGATTGACTTTAATGGTGCAAAACAGAACCGTGAAAGTCACATACGTCCACCAGTTGGACTTATATTACAAAAACAAATTAACGTGGGTATTCAAAAGAGTTCATCCAGAATAATACAGGAATTACTGGGTGAACTAACGTAGCTGCTGCTTCTGTTCTCATGGAAAGCTGTGTAAAATATCTTCCATGGACCTCGATGGTTAGACTGTTCCTGTACTCATGTAAAGTCATTTAAGGTTAGTGTTAGGAAAGGTAAACACTTTAGAGCCACCTTGCTCCATTGCCCATACCCTTTCCATTCCTGCAGCGAGATTTGGTCTCCATCAGGTGATCACTGTACTCGAAGGGAACCAGAAATCCAAAACCAAAGTGCAACTGCACCTAAGACATAAAGTTTGCTGTAGTCCATCAAGTAACATCCTAACTACCTTTAGCTACCATAGAGACTTCAGGAATTAGACTTCATTTCTCTAAATTCAAGCTTCCTCCGAGCAAAATTGTTACCAGTAACAGCAGTACCAAACCCAGAAACTTAAGTTATTGTTATAAGCAGCTGTAATATCACCATTCAGGGATATAAATGCACTCCTCTCAGCAATCAATGCAGAGCAACTATCTGCCAAATGAACAGAAGTGAAAAACGTGGATACAGCAACGTCTGTTGACTGCACTTCAACTGAAAGCTATCAAAAAGCCAAGTGACACACTGTCAGCGAATGCTTTCTTACCCGACACTGGAAGTCCGAGCCCTCTAATCCAAGACATCCCTTGGTGACTAAATGTCCACCAGACTCATCTTCTTCGATTATGGTGAAGCAGTAGCCATCAGTGCTGAGGATTGGAAAGAATGAACCAGAAAAAGGCTTTGAAGTGAAAAATATGTTGCTGAATATAGTCTTAAACTTTGTTCCTTGCAAGGCAAATTTGCCATTAACAAATTGACATACTAAGGCAGGCTGGAAGACTCAGGCACTCAAGGCAACCTCTCGCAATGCAGTCCAACAGCCGGCAGCAGTGTGGACCAGCTCTTGCACACACAAAGGAGGCTCTGCCTTGGAGTTAACACACTTACCTTTTCAACATTTCACAGCTATAAAGCTCACTAAAAAACATCTCAATTCTCTGTCTATGGTCACTAGCGTGTTAAAAATTTGTAGACCCATATAAATGCAAGCATCAACTCTACAGCAGGTCTGCCTTGTGTGTGTGAACAAGTGATGGATATTTGCACCATGGCAGAGACCTGAAGAAAGAAACATTTTTGAGACACTAAACGTAACATATTATTGAGTGATCTGTGATTCCTGTTTTAACCATATTACAAACTGCAACACTCTTGTGTATGAGTCCTTGAGTTATCATCAACACCCTTCATAACTGTTTACTTGGGTTATAAGCCTGAAGTGATCCATAATGCTTCCGTTTACAAGAATGTGCACCAGGGAAGACAAGTATACTAACAGATGGCTAGATGGTGCTGGTGATAAATGTCCTTCCTCGATGAAGGTCAAATGCCTGAATGCTATGGAAAGAGGGGGAGGACGGCATGAAATGTGTAGCTGCATTTTACTGAGACTGTCGTACATTAATTTCTCAGCACTCTGAGAGAGATGTAATGTGTGCAAGAAACACAAATTGACTGATTCGCAGGAAGAGGATCCAAAAACAAAGAAAAAACTCTTTAATACAAGACATTTAAGTCACACAGAAATAAAATACTATGTCATTTCCCCAGGAAAATAACACTGGTTATTATGTGCAATGCGTATTTTTCAGAGGAGAAGAAATAAACTCAGTTAAAACAAGGAAATAAAGAGAAAAAAGGATTAGAAAATTTAGACACAGCAAAATTTCAGATTACTTGCTCCTTACTTGAATGAAAGGAAAGCTTAACAGAGCAACCACAGCAAAGGCAATGATGATGTAGGAAACGATAGACACAGTTACACGTATAAGAGAGAAACACAATTTGTAAGTATTAGCTACACGGCAGAGATGCTGGGTAGGATCATGTCAAACATGTGGCATATTTTTACATTAGTGGTGCAGCGTCTAGCCACAGCAAGCTTATTGCTTCAAATAATAATCTATCATGGGTTATTGATTTCTGGATTTGAAAAGTAACCAGTTGCATGTTACAAATTACTTTCTCAGAGAAGGGAGCGATGACTTCTACCCTTCTTTGACATTGTGCATACGAGTAAGGCAAAGGAGATAGGAACCCTTCTGGGCAACAACCACCTTGATTTCATTGCTTAAGCTTAAAAGATAGGAACAATAGGATTGCCAAGAAGAGAGACTGTGAGGAATCCATTAGAGTAGAATATTAGATTAGATTAGATTTTATTTGTTTGCATGGTGCCTTTCATTCAAAGTAATGAGAAAGTTTAACCCAGGGGACAGAGCAACAAAACAATAAATCACAATCAAGTGAAACACAAAAATTAACTCCTCAGCTAACAGTCCCCAGCAAAAACCAAAATACTGAGTTCACCAAAGGAAATCAGGGGAAGGAAAAGTCAAATTATTTGCGAAAGGGAAAAAAGAAGCAG